CTTCCTCTGCCTCCCATTTTTCCCTGGTGCTCTTCAGGACCTGCCCAAAGCGGGTCCCCAGGGCTGGCCAAGGGCAGGAATGGACATGCACCCTGAGGTGTAGCTGTGTGTGGTGACCACCAGCCTGGCCTTGCCTCCCAGCTCTCGGGCAAAGGGACTCTGGCAGGCTTTCCTAATCCACCTTGGCCCCATCTGCCTGTTAAGCATGGTTTTTATGAGCTTCTCCCATATTGGTACTAGTTCAGGGCTCTCCTTCCCAGCCCGTACCACTCCCATTACTCACGACTCCTTCACAAAAATCTGCTTGGCTTGAGCCGTAGGAGGCTTTTGTATGAAAATTAAATGATACAGTTGAGCGTGATTCAGTCAGTAGAGATGGAATTCATATAATCTCAAGTTTGAAGTGACTTTGTATCATGTAACTTTGCTGTCCTAAACTAGCTCTCCTAGCCCTGTTAATCCAAACGTCCTCCACAACACTCCACCATGCCATCGTCTCTGCCTGCATCACACTGGTTTAGTAGCTGTTTGTGCAGATCATGAGCTTTTAAAGAAGATCTTTAAGATTTTCTTACTATAGTCTGACTTCAGATCATCTTCAGATATTAAATTTGTTTTCTGACTCAGACACAAACTAATTGTAAATGACAGTTCATCAGGGAAGTATTATATTATTTAATTACAGCCCCCCTTCCCTAAGTGGCTGTATTTCCACCCAATCTATGGTTCAGAAATATGTTTTTCTTCATTTGAAAATTATGTGTTTGGTCATGTCCAAGAGCTACTGACAAACACCATTTATTACATCTTAACACAAAACCACTTCTTTTCTAGTTGTCTCTCCTTTGTAGATGTCTACATTGGAAAAAAGGTTTTTGAAGTGTTAGTGCAACGCTGCAGTGCTTATTACCATTTAGCCAACTGAGCTATAAATACACAGCTATTTCACTGGCCACATTCCCAGAACATAATTCAGCGTCACCGTTTATCCAGTGGCAATGCTTCGTTAAGCTCCCTCATTTCCAGCAGCTCCCATCTCACTCCCTCACCGTTTACCTGCAGGGCTGTGCTACAAACCAAGTCAGTGAAATGTTTCATGTCAAACCCAAAATCTCAAAACATACTGCTCACTTATTACATCTTTAAATCCAAACCACTTACTGATACAGGTCACCCGTGCTAGAAAGCTTCCCTGCCACAAGTGTGATGTTAGGGGAGGGTAGCATAGGACTGAAATGTCATAAATTAGAAGTGGGAGATGGAGCTATACACTATACCCTTAATTATTTCTTCCTTGTACCTTCCTTCTTGCTTTATTTTGTTGCTTCCATTTTGGTGTAAATACTTCAAAACTAAAAAAGAAAAAAAACCTTGTCATCCCCTGAAACATTCCACATGAAGCAAGTGCCAAGCCGAGCAGATACAACACTATAGACACTCTGCTGAAAAAAGATCCATCTTTGAGCTCCTATTACGAATATTTACAGATTATGGGTCCCAAAGATAATTCTAGTTTCTAGTCCTGTGAACATCATGCATATTCTTTGTTAATATTGTTCCGTAGGCCTGTAGGTCAAATTTGTTTAAATATACATTGCACTAAATAATATTTTCCCAGCTATATAAATTTATAAAAATAATCTTAAAAAAATTACAACTGATAGAATGGTCCTTTATCCACTTTCATTTTAGGTCACATACAAACACTGTGAGTGGATGGATTTAAAAAAAAAAAAAAATAAAGAGCATAAATTTTTTCCCTTCCTCCAAACCTTATTCTGAGATAGTGGGCTAGGTTCTGATTTCTTTTATTCTACTCTAAATCAAGACACTGACTTGTCTACAAGTTACTGAGCAGGTGATTAAGGTATGAATTCAAAGTACTTCATCCTTTCTGCAACAGCTCCCTGCGGTCATTCCTAGAGAGCGGCATAGTGTGCCTTTGTGTCAGCTCACTGTCAAAGTTGTGCAAAACACACTGTGTTTGGCATGTGTTAAGAGCTCCTACGAAGGGAGCCGCAACCTGCCGCAGTGTGACGCGTTGCAAATTCACCCCCTGGCTTACTTGGGTAGAGATCAGCCCCAAGAGCTGCCACTGGGCATCTCTGCCATAAAACACCTCTTCTGAACCCAGCACTTGTCAGACACAAATTGCAGCCAAGTCTTATTTAGAAGTCTCCCCTCTAGCCCAGGTTACTCTAGACACTGTGGAAAAATATATACATAAGACATATGGATATTACAATAGCTTAAAGTAAGGTCTGGGAACCTAAAGCCTGCAGGCTGCTTATAGCCACAGTTTCATTTCACACGGTGAACCACAAAAGACTTTCTCTTCCTTGTACTGGCATGCTGGCTGAGAAAGATGCTGAAGCAGCCAATATCACCAACAATGACGGAGTCTTCTCACCCATGTTATAAAATTAATGTGGCCCACGATAACTCTGAAGGGGAAATATTATCATAGCAAGGTCCCCACAGCAACAATATTCTGCAAATTACAGAGGCTCCGAATCTATTGTGGAAGCACCACAAAATCTACCAAAAAGCATCAGTAATTGGTAACCTCAGTGTCATGACTTTCCCTCCCCTCGCGTATACTGCTGCTTTTCCCTTTCTTTTTCCCACCTTTGCTATCTCTAACTCTTTCTGTCAGTCTTCCCTTCTGCCTTAAATCTTGCCTACACCATTAAGAGAGTCATGGTATCCATTCAAATGGGATCCATTTAAAGGGACGCAGTGAGGCTCAGCCCTCACATTGTTACACTGATAATGTAGAAAAGAGACAAACACAAGAACATGGAGTAGCTTTCATAAACGGGCAGCTCTCACAGTACAACAGCAATCTTCAAGAAATTTTCTACTACTCTTTGGAGATGCACTTTTTTTATTGGCTGGGTGTTCAATCAAAACAAATTTTCCTTCAAGCAAAACCACTGCTCCTCACTGAGTGACAATGTCAATGCTACTTCAGACATTTCAAATTCCAGACTTTTTTGGCGTCTTATGACTTAAGCATAAGAATTTTGAGACAGAAGTGGGTAGATGTTTCTGCCCACGTTTTCATATTCAAGTTAATTCTATTCAATTTTGATTTTTTCCTTCTTTAAAGGCAAGTGAACATGAAAGAGCACATTGACTCATGGATCACCCCTCTGCACTGTTTTTAGGGTATATCTGCTCAATTTTTTTCTATGCTTCAGCTATGAAAAAACACCACTGAAAGTAGGATTTATCTCGTCTAGCTTTAGAGACTTGTAAGGGAAGTATCTACATCATTGGAGCTAGGCTGCCTTTGTAAGTCCCTGAAAAGAAACACCCACAAGGCAAGATTCATCGCTAATATTTTAGATGCTTCCCTAGGATGAGATGAATTGCACTCTGACAGTACAGCTTCCTCTGCATTGAGTACACTGTGCACTGTAGACATCTACATTTGTTCAAATCTCCGTCTCCTTCAATATGTAGTCTTCTCTGGTCTACTTACAACCTGTCCATTTAAATTTCAAGGTTTTTGAAGCAAGGACTGTCTGTCTTCATATACGTGTGCAAAACCCAGGAGGATAGCAGTATCGTGACTGCATGACTGTGGCCTTTATTTGCTACCATAGTATGAAACATCAATAACAATGGTAACTCTAATACCCTAAACAGATTAGTAATTACACTTCATGGAAAACCAATTATTTAAGTAAGGACTATATTAGAAGACAGGCTTGAGGGGGGAAGAGGAAAAAAAAAAAAAGAAAAAAAGATTTTTCACAGCCATTGCATGCAACACAACTCCGAAAGGCCAGATATGGTGAGCAATCAAAAAGAAAGCTTTGTCTGGCTTACAAAGTCTCTCCTTGTTGTGGTTATGGACTCTGATCTGTTACAGCAGCAATAAATTTTGTTCATGGCCTGTAGCTTTTACAAAGAAGGTGAAAGAGGGACAACTATCATGTTGTCTCCAGTCCTTAATTAAAAAAAAAAAAAAGAGGGGGAAAAAAAGAAGCTTTTAACAAAGGTGGGGACAAGTGGAGTTCATCTGTAACCAGCAAAGGCCATTTCTTGAGGCTGGGCTACACTGTCTTTCCAGGTGGCCCCCTCTTTCCGAAGCTACTCTTTGCTTCAGAATTTGCAATGGAAGAGAGCCACCTCTCAGTCATGCCATACACCAAATAATGCAGGCAAAACTTGGCTGTATGGATGTTCTTACTAGGATCTTTCACAAACTATATATTACCCTTGATTTCAGTCATTACAGCTACTGCACTGGGCAATACCATGAGGAAAAAGGAAGATTCACCTAAATACAAGAGCTTTTGGGCAGGAAGGCTGTCCTTGGGGAACTAGGTGCAGGACGTTTTGTAGCGAAGAGGATTACAGAACTTTTCCAAGCCATCAGAGGCAGAAAGTAAAGTGAAACAGTGCAAGTCAGACTGCTGCACTTGTATACAAAGAAGTGCAGCTCTCAAGACTAACCTGGAATTTGTAAAATACTATTACAACAGTTCTTCAGACCACGAGGCATTAAAACTTCTGGAAACCTCTGATGCTCTGTTCAACAAGTGAAAATATAATCAATCAAATTATACACATCTCAACTCCGACTGCACCACTTACATTTTCTTCTGTATGAAACTACTGATGCGCAGTTTAAAACCCCACTGCACACAATAGTCTCTTTAGCATACACAATTCTCACCTAAATGTGACATTATTTCACCTGTATTCAGACTGACCTCCCTTCTGAGCAACAGCAAATTTTCAAAATACTAATACATTCCTTTGCAGGCTCCTTCTAATTCAATAAAACCTTCTCAAGTAAAACCAATCAAGTGGGAGATTTATGTAGTTGTGTAGGTACAGCTTAATAAGTTTAATCAAATTACTAGGCTACATGTAAATTTACATAGAAGGGTTTCCTTTCACAAATGAATAAATGCTCAAAACATAATTTCAAGAAAAACTTGCAAAGAAAAAAAAAGGGGGGAATAGCAAAGTAAGGTAATTACCTATCTCCCTTTGGTTTTCTTTTTTGTACTGTCTTCCCTTTGGGTCGTCTTTCACTTCCTAAACAGGGGCTCCCACCAGGGCCTGTTACCCGTATTGATTCAAGGCCTTTGGAAGATTTCTTAAAAGTAAATTCCACTGGTTCTCCTTCTTTTAGGCTTCTAAATCCTTCCATGTAAAGCTTGCTCTGTAAATAGGAAAAATACTCTTGGTTACCATTGCCTTAAAAACAATATTTACATTCATAATCAACAGGACAAATTATCCTGTCTACTATCCTAGAATACACACAGGTTGAATAACAATTTCCTCTGTGTGAGCTACAGCAGACGATACTACAAATTATAGTCCTGGACACACTGAAAACACTATTCAACACTGAACAAGTAACAAAACCCTATTTTCAGTATCAACAAAACTGAAGTAACATTTTCCTTTTCTGTGATGACTGCTATAGACGCACGAAGCACAGAAAATACTGTATTCTTAAACCCTCTGTATAACAGGCATTGGGAACTGACAAGGCTTTTTTAACAAAATGAAAAGCAAGTAAATGTTCACTTCAGACCTCATTTGTTTATGAGCAAAATGATCATAATTGACAGGTCTTATATCTGGGACTTGGCTCTGCTGCTCTGAAAATGAATCAAAGATACAACGGGCACACGAGGCAGGAGGAAGGCACTCTGAACGAAGCCCACTGAAATGGGCAATTCAAACATCCCTAGTGAGCTGCTAAATTTCTGTTCACTACCCCAAAAATCTTATCTAGTTAGCATGATTTAGGTATGGATTTGCATTTTCATTCATAGAAAATGAAATTATAATCATCAGAGCAAGTGAAATAAATATTGATAAATCTTTTGATATTATACTGTAGCAGCAAAATGTTGGACAAGTTACAGTCAACAGGAGCTCACCATTGATTTTGATGCAGTGAAAATTTTTGTCTCGATTCCTAATAAATTATGTACAATAGTAAGTCTACATCCCAGGACAAATCTGATGAATCAAACCCTTAAATAAAATGATCATCAAGTTAAGTAAGAAATTTTTTGGGGGGGAAAAAGATAAAATGACAGACACTGGTTGCACTAAACGTTTATTTTGGAAGTTACAAATTACATTAATGAGACCAGTTGGAGTCACAGAGAATATTACAAAATCCGTCAATTTCCAAACACATGTAGTTTTTTGCAGGAGAGTTATGAAACATGTTTTTTTTTCTTTGCCCATAAATACTTCACAACAAAGAGAAAAATATATCTTGACTGATTCTTACTCCTTTCTCCAGCATTCACTTGGCCAAACTGTGGAGTCGAGAAGGGAATCTTCACTGCAGGTGACATCCCGCTCTGTCACATGTCAAAACCAGTTGAGTGACAGTCGACTCTGGAAGTCACATCTACTACCTGACAAGCGCAACGAGGGAACATGTTTGAATCAGACGGCATTCTCTGACATGGGCTCCCTGCATTCACCTTATGGGTGCGGGAGGCCTGCAGCACACAGACACTATTTTAGCAGAACACAAGAACTGACACCTACAGAGTTCATAGGTCATACACGAAGAGGGAGCTTGTCTCTCCTCAAGGATGCATGGAGAACGGGACAGGAGGTGGTAGGCCTGAGCTGCTTCAGGGGACATTCCATCCAGACATGAGGAGAAGTTGCTCACTATGAGAAGAATTAAACAGAGAAGCTCAGAGAAGGAGTGTAGTTCCCTTTGCTGGAAATAGCTAAGCCTCAGCTTAATAACCTTAATAACCTAATCCAAGGCCCTGCTTTCGGCAAAAGGTTGGACCAGACGATGTCAAGAGGTCCCTTCCAATCTAGACTTTTCTGTGATTCAGATATTTTAATCCAGAGCTCAATCACACCCAGTGAGACTGGAAAACAAGATGCCAGTTCCTGGTTCTGCAACAGAGTTACCTCGGGGACCTGTGTCACTCAACTTCTCCCTGTCTTTCTCAAGAGGGACACCACTGCAAAGTCTGTTTCCCACAGCACTAGCAGACTCAGTTAAAAATGATAAAATAATCAGAAATATTTATTTTAATGAAACCATATGAAAGCACACGTACTTTTGCTTTCAAAAACTCCGAGTACTGCACCAGCTGAGTTCTCACCATCTACCCAGCAGCAACCATTCATAAAACACAACGAGACACTACCAATGCCCGTCTGGCGGAGGGACTCAGCTGCTTGTAATTTTTCCAGCAGCCAAAAGTAAGCAAGAACGCAGCTCCCCTGGTTAGGAGGAAGGCTGTTTTTGCTTATCCAGTTGTGCAGCTCTGGTACATGTGGCTCTTCCAGCAAATGTCGTAACAGTGTGAAGCATGAGACAAATAGATGACTTTCTAGGTGAGAGGTTGAGCACTATTTAAAAAGGAGGAGGATGGTACGGAGGGAGGGAGGTGACACTCATGAAAAAAGAGATATATAATATCTGTTCCCTGAATCATAAGCTTGGCTGTTTTTTGAAATTAATATATAAGGTATGAAAAAGGAAGTATGCAAATTTTCTCACTAATACAACCGGAAGACAGTAATTCTACGTAAGCCAATGAAACAAACCACTCAGGAAGGCAGTATTACATCAAGCAAGCCCTCCACTTTGCATTGCCTGCACAACAATAAGGGGATCTTTGTCACCATGAAGAAACATCCAAGTTCAGAATATGCTCAAAGACGACACCACCACTCGTCAACTGAAACAACAGCTTCTGCTTGTGGTGTGAATCCATCCCTCAGTCCATCCACACTTCTTCAAGGCCCTGAGCAACCTGATCTAGTAGGAGATATCCCTGTTCCTTGCAGGGGGGTTGGACTAGATGACCTTTGAAGGTCCCTTCCAGCCCTAACCATTCTATGATTCTATGATTCAGTCTTCACCAGCCACCAGGGAAAATCTTGTTAAAAGGAAAGAACTGAACAACATGTATTTTGTCCCAAACTAAAACATAGCTAATTGTTCCAAAACTAGACAATCATGACAACAGATGGGTACTAATCACAAGAGGAACCTCAAGTAGATAAACATAAGCCCTTATTTCTCAGTAGTACTGAACACGGTGTGGATGCTTTTGTCTTTTTGCTTAATGAAGATACAGTTAAGCCTCAGCAAGACTTCTGCGTTTTTCCTTTCTGAGTTTCACTGTTACAAAACAAACATCGAAATGTTGACATCTGATACACACATAATATTATGTCTTCTACTTCACTTCAAAAGAAAGAAGTACTTACTTAAACACAACCTAAAACAGGGCATTATTAGTACTCTAAGATGTTTTAATTTTTCTCCTTCCACTTAGCAATAGAGCTTTAATTTCCAAACAAAGCACTATATTTACAAGAGGGATTTTTAAAATATATTTAAAAGCCAAAGTAATGGAACAATTATGCTTTCATAAATCACATATTATGCAAGAGTACATTTTTTTGCATGTTTATTTTTTCAAGCACTTTTAACACAGAAAATGTTGAAAAAAACCCACTCCAAATGACTTGCACAGTACTCTCCTTGAATACACCTCAACAGCTTTTCAAAGTTATAGATGGATTTGGTGCCGTTTGACTTTTTGTGTAAATGCATACTACTATGCTGTCAGCCAGCTCACGGTGAGATTCTCTGAGGGTGCAATAACAATTCAAAGCCATAGTGAAAAAAAGGCATGTGGAAACCAGCAGAACAAATCTAAAACTGGAATCCTTCTCAACTTGTCTGAAGAGTTGGACAAAAAATGTCTGTAAAGTTGATAATTTAATGTCAAGAGGCCTAGCTCAGTATTTTCCTCACATTACTTAAACAAATAAAACCCACACAATTAAAAGCAGCCAGAGTTTCAAGTCAGTGAACCATTTCTAGAGCCCTGAATGGGGTGTATGGGCATACCGCCAATGAACAAAGGGAAAAACTTAAAAGCAACATGCTTTTCCTCCTTTCTCTCTCTTTCAGCTGTCAGAGACTCTGCTGTTATTTTTACCAGCAGTCAATACAGTGATTTCAGACTAGAGTTTCTTTTTCTTTTTTAACTTGACACTGCTATTTTTTTTTTTTTTAATGGGCATCCTATAATTTCTTGGTATTTTACCCTATAACATAAAGTCTCACACATTTGTCACAAGCAACAGGCTTGGTCCAAAATGCTGGCAGTTTCATAAGAGTATTAGCAAACACAAAAAATAAGAGTGGAAAAATCCATGATCACAAATTCTTCAGAAGCATTCCCTACTATGGAACAAAAACCAAAACATAACGAATATAAACTGTATTAGCAAGATGGTCCCAAAGAAAAGTACCATTTCCTGAGCAGTGTCAGGGAGTGCTTACAACTCTCACAAGGCTCTACAAAAGAAAGGAAGTTTGGAATTAAGGCTCATTACAGGGGCCCAATCACCTCTGATACAAGTGCGTTACTTTTATTAACGTGTGGGGAGGGAAGGGAAAACAGGGTCCCAGTAAGCGCCTCCCCACAACAACTTTGCCATTTCTAGTCAGGGCTGTGAACAACTGCTGTCGCAGACATTAAGTTCTTTAGGAGGGGAGAGAAGTTATTCAGTGGTGTTCTGCTTAGATCGTTTATTTTCTGTATCTCTCATTTCTGCCCCTTTTTATCTAGTGATTGATTGATTGCTCGGTACAATGACCAGATGCCACCAGTACGCCGAGTTTCCCAAAGTAGGAAAACAGTTTTCCCTCCAAAATTATCTACAATTAAATCCAGACGTGAAGGAAAGCACATTCTGAAGCCCAACTGCACTGAAGACAGTAAGAAATTCTCTCCAAAACAACCTTGTACAGCTCCGTCAAAAGCCAGCAACCTTTGAGTAAAGCAAGAGTAGAGAGTTAGAGGACACAGAAGTTAAACCGCTTACACTGGATCTATAGTAGTGCTCTTACTTGCATTAGATCGAAACCAGAATTTAACTGCTGTACACTGCAAATGTCAGTGGAAGCGCTGCAAAGCGCTACATGTCCTGCTGCAAGGACTTTTGCTGTCCACCAAAAGTTCATTTTAGGAGGTTTGTGAACATCATGTATTTTTGCAAGCAGAATGCTAAAACAAACACAAAATCCACTACATTGAACAACAGCGCTTCTGAAAGCAACACGTAGCTCCGCTGCACTAACACAGAATTTGAAGGCGGAGCACCTACAAGACAACTCACCATTGCTCCCCACTGACCTCAAGGGCTTTTTCCTGCTCCTAAAGGCTTATCTTGCACCAAATCTGGCACTTCTTGGTCCTCCCCATAAGCCAATTTAACTCACTAATCTGACAGGAAACAAACTCAGTTTAAAAGGCGGGGGAGGATAAGAGGAAGAGGAAACAGGGATAGATTTTTGTTTTTCCAGTGAGCTAAATCTGTTCACAGAAAGGTTCAATGAGCTCCAGGGCATGCACAGTGGAAACAGCAACTTCTGAGATCAGAATGTGTTCCTTAATATTTTGTGTAAAAAAGAAAGATCTACAGTATTACAAATATTTTTTTTTAAAGCTCAACATAATATAAATGAACTTTACTTCAAACATAAAGCTATAAACCACTCTATTGCTCCAAGATTTGCTCTTCAACTCTCAGGCAATGAAGAGCCATGTACACTACATGTATACAATGTTTATTAGACA